CAGCTCTGGGGAAGGTGGGCCATACTGCCTGCTACTTCTTCATCATCACCAAGACTAGAGTTTCTAAGTCTCAAGTCTGGCTAGTTTGGGATGTGCTAATGCTTTTATATGTTAGCACCATCCACAGTGTTTAGCTCTGATGCCAAAGACATAATATCAGTTCACTGCGTGCAGTAGTAATAATATTTTATTTAAATTTTGGATGATTTCAATGATCTGGGTTGTCTCTTGTGACTAAGACAGATGGCACACTGCCTTTAATTATAAATCACAACAAATTCTTTAAAGAATGGCATCCATTGCCTCCCTTATTTTCTCTACCTTTTTTGCCCATTAAATCCGAAGCGTGTACAGGTTTTTACAAAACACATTAAGTACAAGAGTCTCTATTCTCAGGCAGGCTTCTTTCCAGCCCACCATAGTACTGTGTTTCCCCAAAAATAAGACATCCTCTGAAAATAAGACCTACTTACAGGTTTCCTTCTGAGTGAAATATAAGACATCCCCCCGAAAATAAGGCCCCCTCTAGGCTCTGTCTCAGAAACTTTGTGAAACCTAAACTGCAAGAAGTTGTGACTTGGGTAAAGAATTCATGGGAGAAAAATCACTGACAGTTGCATTGCAAATGCACTGCCAGCAGGCTACCTTGACAAGAAGTACTCATTTAAAGGCAGTGCTATTGCTAAACATGAGAGATTTGGTCTACTGATTCTGAAAGAAATGGAGTCACAAGAAATTCACCAGGAAATTCAGGAATTGGATTGTTATGATGATGTTCCAGAAGATGATGACATGATTGTCATTGAATAAATGAGTAAATTCTTGATACTGTAGGATTCACAGTTTGTCTTGACAACTACTGTACTACCGTACCGTATACAGGTAATAAATTTCCTTTATTTTCATTTAACAATAAATGTGTACCATATTCTTCTTCATGGAAAAATAAGACATCCCCTGAAAATAAGACCTAGCGCATCTTTGGGAACAAAAAATTAATATAAGACAGTGTCTTATTTTCGGGGAAACAGGGTAAAATGGGGATAGCAATTCTTCTGCTTTACACAGACCTGTGAAGAAGAAATAAAGTTAGGATTTACCAAATACTTAATATGTTAAGTTAGGGAGAGATTAGACAGTTATGAAAGATGGAATTGTTGGGGGCCACACTGGTCTCTTCTGGTCTAGCCTAGAGTTCTGAACACGGAAGATTATGAGAATAGGGTGGTGACAGCAAAGATGGTAGTTCCTAGATCAACAACGTCAGCTACTTTCAGACATAATTTGAACGTTCCTAACTTGTGCTTAATGCAAGTTTGTGACTGTCTCACTCATAAATTTAATCCAGGCTCAGCTGTTTTTATTTCTAGGTCATATAACCCTTTACAGGGTAATAAGTACTATAATTTTACTACCCACTGTGTAAAAGAACTCCCTTTTCTTATTCATCTCTCTTGGCTCCAGGAGATCCTCGTTAACTCTGGTATTGATGATCAAATCTCTGCTTACTCCATTTACAAATGAAGTTCAGTCATTTCCCTTTTTAGGATTTCCATACGCCTAAATGACCTAAAATTTTAAACTGCCTATAAGTAATAATCATATATAAACAAAAACAGTCAAAGCTACATTGAGTGAATATGATTTTTAAAAAAGGGGGGAGGGGACAGCAAATAGAAAGACAATAATTATGTTTTTATGACTGGTTTTTGCTTTTCTTCTCTTCCTTTATTCTAAACTCCTTGAGAGAGCCTGGGTTTTATTCTCTTTTTATCCCCCAGTACAGTGGTTCTCAAACACTAATGTGCATCTGATTAGCTGACAGGCTAACGGATTGCTGAGCCACCCCAGAAATTGCCATGCAGTGAGTCCGGTGCGGAAGCGGGGGTGGGGGGAGGAAGGGGGGGTTGTCTGTGGATTTGCATATCTAATAAGTTCCCAGGTAAGGATGATGCTGCACTACCCAAGTCACTAGCCATCAGCCACTGAGGATACTAAATAAACAATTCACACTGCTGCTGCAGGTGTGAATTGTTTATTTAGTCACAATTTAAATTAAAATGGGCACGTACTGTATTGGACAGGGCACCTTAGAGCACACTACACCAAACACACTAGAAGACAGTGCAGCAGCTGCTGTGGCCTAGTGAGCTCTGGATTGGATGACCTGACTCTACGTCTCAGAGGCTGAACTGTCTTAGGCATCCTACTCACCTGCCCAGGCCTCGGTTTCTTCCTTAGTAATATATCAGTATCGCTTTATTGGGTTAGGAGGAAACGAGAGAATACACATAAATAAGAGGTTTATTTAAAACAGAGATTGCTACGTGTATCCCTGAAGTTTTGATTCAGTGAGTGTGGGGTAGAACCAGAGAAGGTGCATTCTGAATGAGTTCCCAAGTGGTATTCATGCTGCTGCTCCTAGGACCTTGGAAAAAGGAGTTTAGAATAGAGAGAGAGAAGAAAATCGATAACCAGTCATAAAAACATAATTATTGTCTTGACTTTCTGGTACTTCCTGTCTGTCTCCTCCCAACCCCTTTTTAATCATATTCACTCAGGGTAACTCGGAAAAACGGTCGTAAGATGTTTAGTGTGATGGCTGACACGTAGTGAGAGCTCAGTGGTATCAGTTACTGTTTCATGATGTGCATCTGCATGGTGTGCATCAAGAGGTTTCTGAGAAATCAACCAACCAACCAACCAACCAACCAACCCCACACTTTATTAGGAATCTCTAGCCCATGTTCCAACATTAAGGGCACGTCTCAATCATGACAGGCTGGTTTTGGGCAAAGACTAACAGCAGCAGAATGCACACAAACCGACCTCACTTGTGCAGGGTTTCGTTTCTCGAAGTCGTCACACATCATCTGGTTTCTCTCATCTGAGAGTCCTTCCAGGGTGCCTGTAGTTCTGTGGACAAAAGGTGTTGCAGCCAGGACCGGTTTGGCTCAGTGGATAGAGCGTCAGCCTGCAGACTGAAAGGTCCCAGGTTCGATTCCAGTCAAGGGCATGTACCTTGGTTGTGGGCACATCCCCAGTGGGGGGGGTGCAGGAGGCAGCTGGTCGATGTTTCTCTTTCATCGATGTTTCTAACTCTCTGTCCCTCTTAATTCCCCTCTGTGTAAAATGAATAAAATATATATTTTTTTAAAAAGGTGTTGCAAGAGGGTAAAGAAACACACAGATAGGCAAACAAACAGACACTGGTCTGACAGATCCACATTTAATGTTGTCTTTGTTCGGTATTCACAATAGGGCTCATCTAAAAGGAAAAATAAAACAGCCTCGGAAGAAAGATGCCCAAAGAGGCTCCTCCAGGACTACTGATACCCCATTCCCTGCAAGGATCCACCAAAGGGTCTTTTGCTTTGGATTCTGGGATGCGGTGTTCTGTGGATTTATATCTGTTAATACAAGGGCCTTTTTACTGCCCTCTCTTAAGAACCATGAGTAAAAATTATTTGCCCAACATACCAGTCTTTTGAGTATAAATGACCATCATTCTACCCATCAGCAAAAAATGATAAGCAATTTCTGTTACAAAATCAATCTTGTTAACAGACCCCCTGGCAAGTCAGGATTACCCTTTCCATTTCCAGGTGTGGGAAATGGGAGGGCAGGTTTCAGAGTGACTTGTTATTACTTAGAGAGACGAGGTAGAGGAGATGGGAGGTTTCCACTCACACTGCTCCGGCCTCCCCGCTGTTGTAGTCTGGCAGAGTCTCCCGGAAATGTCTCTGCAAGAAGTACAGGAGACAGAACGTGGAACCTGCGTCGGGACTACGAGGAGCAAATGTGACCCGACCGGCAGTGGTTGAGTTACTGATGGAAACGGTCTCAGTAGTTCGGGTCTTACATTTCCAGGACCCCCTTCAAAAGGTTGGAGGCTCTTGTAAGGAGCACAGGTTTTCATCTTGGATTTGCCTCTCACTTCCCGAGAGATACTGTCTAAATTAACTGTGTCCTCCGAGCCTCTCTTTCTTCCATGTAAAATGGCAATTCCTCTCCTATATTTCACAGTGGGTTGGAAGTACCTATTAGGAACATCATCTAGGGCCTGGGTTCTTGAACAATAAATATATCAAGTTGAAATAATGCAGCCTTTTTAAAAGATTATATGCATATCTGAATTAAACACACACATACACACACACAAAAACTTGCCAAAACCATCAGTATAATTTCTCAGGAACAAGGTAAGCAGCTTAAATGCTTTAGAGCAGGCACCATCTCAGTGACAAAAATGAACTATATTAATCAACTCATTTTTATGAGATCTGAACACAAGTTGGTCCCAATGGCATCCCCAGGATTGTACCAGTAAGTCTGAGACCTCTTCCTGTTCCTATAGAAGGGTTGGGGCAGATAAAGTGACTGCCTATGAGAGTGCCCACTTGAGGAAGACACAAATGATAACCCCTTCTGCCAAATTACCAGTCACCTCAGTCACGTGTGTGTATGTAAACCAGGCTGGGGAGTGTGCGCCTCAAATACTGGGGACTCAGAAAGCTCTGCCTTCTTCGCCTTTTTCTTTCCTGACCATGGCATTTTGCTGATGGGATCTAGAATACTGCTCTATCTGCAGGCCACGTAACACTCTTCATCAAATGAAGCCAATATCAATTATACCGAATTAAATATTCCCAGACTACAACTTCCAGCTTGTCCAGAAGGAAAGCTACCTTTCTTTTCTTTTTTCTTTTTTTTATTAAATATATTTTATTGATTTTGTACAGAGAGGAAGGGAGAGAGATAGAGAGTCAGAAACATCGATGAGAGAGAGAGTCATCGATCAGCTGCCTCTTGCACACCCCCCACTGGGGATATGCCCGCAACCAAGGTACATGCCCCCGACCGGAATCGAACCCGGGTCCCTTCAGTCCCCAAGCCGACGCTCTATCCATTGAGCCAAACTGGTCTCGGTGGAAAGCTACCTTTCTTGGAGTGCAAAGACCACAAACCAGAGGAGCCTTTTTGCAATCAGTTGAAACTTCCTACAGAAAGCCCACCAGCTTCTTCACCTCCTGGCACACGGGATATGCTAATTCCTTGGCTCTGGCTGACCCCGCTTCTAAAACCTTCTCTAAGTGGTCCTTGTCCATCTTCAGCTTTTCAATTTCACTCTTAATTGGAGCGAATTTCTCAATCACAGCATCTGCCACCAGCAGTTTGTAGCGGGCCGTGTCCAGGCCGGCACTCTGGCGGACCACTTCCTCCACAGGAAGGCCCGTCACTGCCGAGTGGATGGCCACCAGGTTGGAGACGCCCTCACGGCGGGCCGGGTCGTACGTGACCTCCGAGGTGAAGTCCGTCACCGCCTTGCGGAACTTCTGCACAATCTCCTCCGGGCTGTCTGTTATCCTGACGGTGGCCAGTCTGTCCGGGTCTGATTTCGACATTTTGGCAGAAGGATCACGGAGAGATTTTACCTTCTTCATCGATGCTTAGGTAAAAACACAACACACACATCCCAAACAAAACAACAGAGAACAAAACAATGACAACGTTAAGAAAAAATCACAAGTGTCAGGGTCAATCTAGATCTTTAAAAATCCAAGAATACCAAATAGCTATTATTTCTATCTGATTATATAAATGCTAAATTCTCACTGTGAAAAATTCAAGAATTTCATAAGCATGACAGTAAACATCCAACAAATATGTAACGTTTTGTTGATCATATCGTTATGCATTTTGGATGCACATGTTCACATAAAAATGTACAATAGTATTATACAAACAAAATTGTAGCAATCACACTGTGTTTGCTGTGTGCACCATTAAAAAAAAAGGATTGTCTATCTCTATCCTCTCCCTCTCTCTTCCTCTCTGTGCTTCTCTACTGGCTAATCACCCCTACCCATAACCACAGCCTTTCCTGTCCCCAAGCCAACTTTAACCATCTGTATCAATCCTTCCAATTACTTACCCATGATTATAAAAGTATATATGAACACACACACACACACACACACACACACACACACGAAACTTGTTTATTACTCTGATAGAATCAAGATGTTAAGCTGTACTTCATAGACCAGTGTTAGTAATAAGTGCCTGTTTTATGGCTATTACAGAAGCATATAAAGTTGAAATCAGTAAAATAACAATAGGCCAAAAGATTAAAATGTTATTACTCAAAGAAGGTTGGTTTGGGTATGTGGGGTGCCCTGAATTGATCTTGGGAATAACTTAGACATTTATACCCAACTTAGGTTTCTAGATTGATACTGGGTACGTGGCATGCTCCTTTAACATGCTGTCAGTTTAATAAAGATGGACAGAGTTTAGGTTTCGTGATTTGTACTCCTGCCACAGGTGTGCACAGCTATAAGTATGTTGATAGAGGTGTGCAGCTTCTTTCCTCAAGGAGAGTCCAGACTAGCACAGCCCGGCCAGTTGCAGCCGAGGCCTCAGACTCAGTAGGTGGACTGTACATGCCACCTCAGTTGTGCATTCAAGAAGGCATGTGTCCTGACCAGGAATTGAACCATGTCCCCAAACCAACACCCTCTTGTTTTAACTACATTATGACCCAGCAGTTCTCAATCTCACAACTTCTGTTTTATTGGAAATAGGGAAGCGAAGGTAGCTGGTTTTGGAAGCAGAACTCAATATAGGGCCCAGGTTTGCCACTGATTAGATACAGGACTTGAACACAAAGTTAGCCCTGCCAGGCCTTAGTGGAAACACAGAGAAAGCTACCTGATTTACCAAATGAAGGTGTGTGTGTGTGTGTGTGTGTGTGTGTGTGATAAGTTATATAATACTTTATACTTAAAATTATTATTTTTAGTTTTAGTCTCCTTACTTTTCAAGCTTTTTTGGTTATTTCATTCAATTATCCAATGAGGTCTACTAGTCCTACATGACAGAAAAAGATGGGGATTCTAGTTATAAATCCTGAAGCCTGTCCACAAAGAAGCCAGGTTTAGTTTCAAGAAAGTTCTAAGTTTTGGTCCTTTATACAGACTTCTCTTTGACACAGCCCCTGATTACTAGACTTACTGGAGTGACCACTTTGTAAGTTATATAAATGTCTAATCACTGTGTTGTGTAACCTGGAATATAACATACTATTGGATGTCAATATTAATTGAAAAAAAATTTTAAATATGAAAGGATTATGAACAGCCCCAATGTATCAACCACACGTTTGCTACTTACTTAGAATGGACTTGGGCACCGGGAAGAACTCCCCATACTTCTTGTTAAACCCTCGTGCTAGATCCTGCACTAGCTCCATGTGCTGGACTTGATCCTCCCCGACAGGAACGTGTGTGGACCTTCAATGGAAGACAGACAAGAGAACTCTGCAGGGCTCCTGCTTATACGGAAATGATACTGCAAGCAGCGGCACTTCCTGTGCCTGTTTCACTGTGGTCACCAACCGCTCACCAACCACAGAGGGGATGCCGTGACCCGCGTCTGCCTCTGTGCACCAGACAAACGCCCAAGAGGCGTCAGGCCACTCGAGTTCTCTCCTTTCCACAGCGGAGGAACACAGCCGTCAACCCCACCAGCGGGCAGGATCTCACTGGCAGGGAGGGATGGGACCTTAAACAGCACAGGCTCTAAGCATAATTGTATTGTAAATCCCCTCCGGTCTCTCAGCCAGCCAGCACACATTATCCTGGCCTGGACCAGATGCATCTTACTTCAGAGCTTGTGCTCACCCTTGAAAGACACTCCACCCCACGCCTCAGATCAAACTTGGCAGACGGCTCTGCAGGCGGAGAGTTCTCCTCCTGCCACACAGGGAGTGACTCCAATCGTTTAGGAATATATGCTCTTCTGTTCTCCAGTACATTGCAACCATCACAGGACAATTAATATGCTGCAGGGAACTTAAAATGAATTAATAAAATCAAAATCTATCAGTACAATGTAGACGGGTCTCAAAAACAATGTTGAATGGAAAAAGCAAGTTGCAGAAGACGTGGACAGCAATGACATTTATGTAAATCTTAAAAGCACATATGAAAATTCTATGCACCAATACATATATAAGTTAAAAAAAACATAACCGTATTTTCCAGCGTATAAGACGATTACTGTGTTCTAGTAAAAAGCCTGCTCAGATTGGCCAGAGTCAGAGAGGCGGTCTATTAAAAAAAGAACTGGTGTTGCCTCGGAAGTGGGGGGTAGTCTTATACAGCGAAGATAGGCCTAAACCTATGTTTTAACTGTAAAAAAAAAAAAAATTAGGGGATCGTCTTATACGCCGGAAAATACGGTATTTGGCCCAGCTGGTGTGGCTTAGTGGTTGAGCACCAACCTAGGAACCAGGAGATCATGGTTCAATTCCTGGTCAGGGCACATGCCTCAGTTGCAGGCTCCATCCCAAGGGTGGGGCGTGCAGGAGGCAGCCGATTAATGATTCTCTCTCATCATTGATGTTTCTATCTCTCTTTCCCTCTCCCTCTCTGAACCCAATACAAATGTTTTAAAAAACATATTGGAAGTCCCTCCACAAATTCATGATTTTAGCTGCCTCCAGATAAGGAGGGAAAGAAGGGGCTTGAGGAAAGAAGACCTGGATCTTATCTGTAAGACTTTATTTTATTCAAAAATAAAGAGGTGAAACACAAATTATCAGAATACGGGGACCATATTTGTAATCACTTTAATCCCATATGTACGAGTGAAGTGTTAGATCATTTTTTGTTTTTTGTTTTTGTAAAGAAAACTGCTTGGTAACCTCAATAGGATTCCAAAAGACAAGGTTGTTTTAGGACAAGAGCAAGAAGTCACAAAAGGAGGACAGCATCGGTGAGAGAAAACAATAAAATGGAGAGAAAGTGAAATGATGAAATAAGGAAAAGCCAACACGTAACTACAGAACCAGGAACAGGAAGGAGCAGAGTCTAAGGACAGGTTGTTATCGGAGGCCTGGGTGAGGAACGAGAAGCTCCTCAAGAACTCAGAGCTGGAGGAAAAGGAGAAACGGGACCAGCTAATGATGGGCTGGAGGACCATCCTCTGGTCTATGCTCAGGGTCCTCCGGAGGAAGGCACCAGGACCATCTGAACTGAGGCCATAACCTTAAACCTGGAGGGAACTGCACTCGATTCGAAACAAGGAAGCAAGCAAAACCGAGTATGCATATTGAATGGGCTCCACAAGTTTCAGAAAAAACACCAGAGACTCACACTGCAACACAACCCAAAAAAAACAATAAAAAAAACACACTGAATTATAAAGTTAAAGAAAAAAAAAAAAAGTCCTCTATCCCACAGCCAGAAAAATAAAAAGAAAAATGAGAAAAATCAGGTTAATAATTCAACAATGAAACAATGTTTATAGGGTTGAGAGTAGAAGGTATTAAAAACCTAGCCAAGCTGCCTTTTATTGTGCACTATAATAATAATTATTATGACGATAATAAAGTAGCTAGTGGCTAGGAAACACCCCCTATGTGCTGTACACTTCGCTAAGCACTTTCAATGTATTAGTATTGCCCTCAATCCCCTTCTACAGAGGAAGCAAGCTAAACAGAGAGAAATTCTCAGGCATGTAAAGGACTGGAAACAATTCTGAGTCCAACCGAAAAGCTCCAGAGCTCAGGAGCGGAAATGCTGGGGGATAAACATTAAAACACAGAATCTAAATTTTGGTCACAATTTGAGGCAGAAAATGCAATCTAAAATCAATACATTTATAACAGCAACCTTTATTGAAAATCCCAGGTTAGTTAACAGAATTGAAAGGAAGTAATGAGTGTAGACTAAGGATCTCAGTGCGATTAACAACCCATCGGACCACATGATATCATTTTGTACTTGGAACGATGAAAACAAGGCCCCACACAGAATTCCCAGAAAGAGAGAAACTGATATACAAACGGGCAATGGCCAGACAATACATGACCAGAAAAACATGAACAAACAACCTTTGTAGCAACCAGACCAGGAAGCCCGTTCACCACCTCTGCAGCCACTGGCCCGGAATGGTCGAGACTTGGGCCATGACTGCCAACTTCCCAATTCTTTGTCTTTGCTTTGTCCAACAGAGAACCCACCAGCGGAAATCTAAATGCTCCCCGAATGAATCTCATCCTACGCCCCGCTTCTCCCTGGCCCGCCTTTGGCTTCCCCATGGCAACAGCCTCAAAACAGAAAGCCTACCTGAAACCTGCCTTTCCCATAAAAGTTTTCCACTGCCTCCTGCTTCTCGCCTCTGAGAATCACAAGCAAGGGTGGCGGACTCCTCGCCCCAGCCAGCTCTGAACAAACAGTGTCTGTGTGTTCTCGTTTGGGTGGTCTTTGTGTAGTTCAAAGACAACCGCTACCAGACTGGGAAACAGAAAGCACACCTTCCAATCACTGGGATAGATAAAAAGCAGAACAAACACAATCTAGATAGCAAAGGACAGAAGACAAAGAATCACACACAGGAAAAATATAAAAATAAAAATAAAACGAACATCAGAAAACATTTCATTGATGTGGGAAAATATAAGACAAAAAAGGCCAGGGTGCCAATTTTTTTCTTTTCTTTTTTTTTTTTTTTGAAAACACATATTGGCATGAAGAAGGAGCCACAGTGGTTGAGTGGGGACTCTGGTGTTAGGCAGCCTGCGGTTCCTGGGCAACTTATTTAACCTCCTTCAGCCTGTTTTTTTTTTTGTTTGTTTGTTTTGTTTTTAAACTGACTAGTAATAGTTCCTGCACAAGGAGTGCTTTGAGGAGTAAAATAATGTGCGCAAAAGCCCACAGTCTGGTGCCTGGCACATAGTATGCAAACAAGAAATGTTAGCTTAAGAAACTGATTTGCAGGAAATGCACCAATATGGTAATAAAAAACAAACAGCAGCCGTGATTTTTAATTTTTTCTAATGAATATAGAAAGAATGTTTTAACGACATTAGAATATTAGATTAACCCGCGGGAGGCTTAACTCTCCCACGACGAGACCCTAAAAATAAAATGAGCTTTTAAAAATCAAGTTATAAAGTAAGCTTTTTGAGAGTTTGTCTGTCTTGCTTTTCAATATATTTCCAATGGCATTGCTAGGTACGCACGAGGAGCTTAATAAATGCTCATTCAAAAAACGAGTTATCTAAAGAGGAAGCCACTGTAATCTATACAGTCCCTATAGTTCCTACCACGATGAAGTGTATAATGCAGTCAGTTTGTGGTCACCTGAGAGGATAAAAGCAGGAACTCAGACTTTCTGAATTTAAATCACGGCTCCACCAGCTACTAGGCATAGCCAACTTTCTTACCTTTTCTAAACCTGTTTCTTCCGTAAAATAGAGATCATAACAGTGCCTACCTTATACAGTTGTTTCATTAAATGCGATAACCAAGCATCATTCTTGATAGCAAGAGCTCAGTAAACACTAGCTACTGACATAACAAATACTCATTAATATCTGACACGACGCAGGATAAAATGGTGAAAGAAATCCTGATATTTGGTATAAGGTACCTGGTGGCTCTCTGCAAACCATGATCCCTTTCCTTGTTCACAGCTGCCTCACTCCATGAACATCAACACCAACATGTGATCCCGGAGACAGGCACACACCTGGCAGCCATCCTGACAGGTATGGGTGCCAAACATATTTGAAACTGACCGCTCCCTGGTTAGGTCATTCCAAAGTATACATGGCATGCTATCGGGATCCTGAGCATTCCTTCAATCCCAGGAAAACAGGGACGCAACAATGAATGGGAAAGGCAAAAGGCAAGGACCATGACCATGGATCAGGAAGTAGTTTCTCCTCTTCTGAGGTCTGTCGATGAATTCAGGAAATTCTACAACACGATGGTACGGGCTTCATCCCTTGCTCTTGTCCACAAGGCCTGGAGCCAAACGTCACTGGCCCAGCGCGTGGGAAAAACAAAAATGCTCCAGTGCCCATGACCCTGCACACGCTCCTCTCCCTAACCCTAACCCCCCGCTCCCACTTCCACATTTCTCGTCTTTGACTGGCCGTCGCTACTCCTGTCTTTGTAATGACAGTGACCTTGCCTCTCCCAAGCCAAATTAGCCAACAGGGCAGGTTAAGAAGCAATTACGGTAGCCCATAGGAAATCACAATGGACTGCAACTAACACAGAAAAAACAATTACCATAATCAATACACTTTAAGCACATCGAAATGAATATTTCCACATGTCAAAATGGTTCCAGATCCACAAAGCAACCAAACTAAACAGAAAACACATTTCGTTTTCATAATGACTCTGCATGCGACTCTGCCTCATGCCGGACCCTCGCCTCTTGCCATTCTGTGAGATTTTTGCTTTAAAAAAAAAAAAAAAAGATTTTAAAAATTTTAATTTTTTTCACCTGGTCCGCTGGCTGCCCTTGGCTTCTTCATCTGATTTCGGTTTGTTTGTTTCTAGTCTTTCCTCCCCCTGCTCCTGCTGCTCCTTTTCACCTCCTGTAATTTATCTCGGCCCTTCCTTCTCCTCCGTGGAGTTTACACTTTACATTAATTCAGCCTGTCTTTGATTCCGCGCACTTATGGGGCTTATTCTCTTCACATTTGCAACTTCTCTCCTCATAGCCTCCCTTTCACTTCAAATAATTTAGTGCTGCTCTTTTAAAATTTATACCCTCCTTAACGATATCCATATTAATGCCTTCTCTCTTTCTCCACATCCTTTTTTTTCCTTCCCCTTACCCCGAGTGTGCTTTCTTAGACACAACATAAAACAAAAGTCTTTCATAATTTTGATTGTTATAACTTCTGTCACATAATAATGCGTCTGATCTTCTCTGGTGACTAAACCATTTTTCTTCTGCCGAGTTTCTCCTTGCCTCTACGTGTACTTGGGATCCACCCCAACCCTTTGGCAGAATTAGTGTCTGGATGAATAATCGTGGCCTCCATATATCTGCTCACAGAGATTTGTTCTCTTGGTGTGGGTTCCCCCCCCCCACCCCCTACTTCTTTGGCTGTTTGTGAGTTTTCCGTGCCGTTGCCTTTAACCAGCCCAGCTGGGCCAGGAGTGCGGGGCTGTTTTCTCTTTCCTAAAAGATTAATTCACCATCACTGGTCATGTTGGATGCGCGGTGATGACTCTCGAATGTAGCAATTCCTCATGGAAGACCTACGATGTGCAAGGCCTGGTGCTGGGTACTGGCAGACAGATAGGGTTTTACCGTCCCGGGAGTTAAGGCTTCCAGGAGACGGAGAACATGGGATGAAGCTGTACCTCCTTCTGGTGGGGGCCCCCTGCAGGTTTCCTATGTGAATGGCAACACCATGGATCTGGGAGCACAGTCTGAAACCTGGGGTCTGCCCTGATACCCCTCCTCATTCACATCCAATCATTACGAGGTCTTATTGATTGCTCCCCCTTAACATTTTGGAAGTTTGTCTGCTCTCTTTGTCTTCACTGTTGCCATCATGGTCCAAACAGACTAGTAAAAGAGCCTCTTCATGGACACCCCCCAGCTGCTTTTATCCCTCAATTTATTCTCTGCATTTTAATCAGTCCTCTTTTAAAAGTGCACATGGAGTTACTTCATTCTGTCCTTACAATGCGCAATAGCCTCCCCTTGCTTTTAGGAGGGTGACTGGATTGTCTGTCGACATCTCGGGGCCCGTCTCTCCCTTCTATCCTGTTTCTCAATTTTCAGGGCCGGCAGCCTGAAAGCTACATTTCCCAGGGTGCCTTCCAGGGGACTCTGGGTCACTGTTGGCACTTGCCTGAGAGCTGAGAAGTGGAAGAGAAAGAGGAGAAGTGATTGCTTTGGCACTGTGGGTGGGTCTGCAGACATCAGCAGACAGCTGACATGAGGTTTGGCCAGCAATCTCCAGGACCTCAAAAAAAAAAAAACATGGGACAGACTAGCATCACAGACAAAGGATAGAATTCAAGAACTGGACGTCTCCAATGCAGTTGGAGGAACTGACTATCCCAGCGGTCTCAATGGCAGTAGTCAGATCCTCATCAGAGTTACGATGACTCAGCTCTTCCCTGGAATTACCAAGCAGGACATTTCCAACTCTCTGTACTCTGTTTTGGGTTCCGTTTACTCACCATTCCAGGAGGACTGTTTCCTCATTGTCCCATCACCCCAGCTTTTGCTTTCACTATCTTCTTAGCCTAACCCCATATTGCCCTGTTCAAATGCTGGAGGAAGAGAGCAAGTCACTAACCAGGAAACCACTCTCATTTCTATTTGAGTAGGTTGGTGGTACCTTTCTCAAATGTCATTTCTTTATCTGTGAAATGGGGAGAGTCCTGCTTAACTGTGTTACAGAGCTGTTGTTGTGGAGAGAATCTGAATAGGTAATGTGTGTGCAGCAAATAGTATGGTGCCAGGCAAATAATGCTCAGCACACGTTAATTCCTTCCTCCCCTTTCTCTCATGCCCAAGCGCAGTGCCTTTTTCTGTCATTGTCAAAAACATACCCATCATTGGTCATAATTGAGCTCCCAGTCACTGCACTTCCTGGCCCACAGTTCATGTTAATCTTTCAGTAATCCTGTGCAGGGTGATCATTATTCCTATTTTATAGATAAGAAATGAAGGAGTTTTTTTTGTTTGTTTGTTTGTTTTACAAGTAGAAACAAGTAGTCCTTACAATTGAAATGATTGGATCTTCATTAGCCTCTCACTTGCTATTCCTGCGGAAAAGTGTTCTGGACTTCCAAAAGTCACTTATAATAAATAATAAAATGCTACCAGAAACCCAGCACTCAAGTCAATACAACAAAGGCACCATATATATATATATATATATATATATATATATATATATATATATACACACACACTGAATATACACACACACACTAGAGGCCTAGTGCACAAAATTCGTGCACAGGTAGGGTTCCTATGTCTGGCCAGAAATCAGGGCCAATTGGGGCCTTCTGGCTGCCAGATAGGGCCTTCCTTCATTCTGTGCCACATACATCATAGTGAGTGATCGAACGCCCAAACTCCTGAGGGGACACCTTTCATATTAGCCATATATATTATATACATTATATATATGTATATATGTATATATACACATTATATATATGTATATATGTATATATACACGGTGAGTCCACTCCACCACCGCCACTATTTCCCATCCATGTTATTAAAGCAAGGGCATAAGAGTTTTCAAGGTTCCATTCATATATATATGTATATATAAAATATATATTTTTAAAATCAGAATTAAATAGCCAGCATGTAATACTGGACATTCCTTATCTGTGAAGCTAAGCAGCTGCTCTCTGGCTGTTTCCATCATAACTGCACCAGGGTGCTGGGGTCATGCCACAGGGCACACATACTGTCATCTCCAAGCTGTTACCACACTTACAGGCAAAGGAGTCTAGTTCTCCTGGGAAATATATTAAATTACGGAACATCCATCTGTAATTTAGCATCTGTTACCGGAGAATAGATGAAACCTGATTTACGTGTCTGAGCCTTCCTATGTCCCCTTTCCTCTCGAACCAAATATATCTAGATTAGGATAAAGCACCCTCTCACGCATGCATATGTGTAAGCCTGGGGCGGACTCCGCTCCTTACTTGTACAGCAGGACATCAGCTGCTTGGAGCACCGGGTATGTGAGCAGGCCCACAGTTCCATCGTGCTTCTGCTGGGCACTCTTTGCCTGTGGGTGTGAAAAGAGGAGGGAAAGAAATCTAACATGAACCTAATTATACTGTAAATTAAGAAATCTTTAAAGCCAGCAAAGGGTAATCTAAAAGCGCCGGCAATGACATAACATCCCAGTTCCTTCTAGCAACTCTAGCCATCTCTGGCAGCTTGTCTTCATGCCCCAGGCTTAGGCAGGAACACGGTGAGTCCACTCCACCACCGCCACTATTTCCCATCCATGTTATTAAAGCAAGGGCATAAGAGTTTTCAAGGTTCCAAATCAGATAATTCCTGATTTCACAGTGAAGGGCAGAAAGTGTCATGAAATTAAATAAAGCACCCTCTATAAATTAACATGAGTTAACATCAAATGCCTATTATTTATCTGGGGAAACCTCCCCTTTTAAAAATCTCACACTGTGCTGTTGACAAAACCGGACTGTTTCCTTAAAATTACATGTAAGCCTGACTGGTGTTGTTCAGTGGTTGAGAGTCGGTCTATGAACCAGGTCACAGTTAGATTCCCAGTCAGGTCACACGCCAGGTTGCAGACCCTCCCCGGTTTGGCTCAGTGGATAAAGTGTCAGCCTGAAGGGTACCAGGTTCGATTCGGGTCAAGGGCACAAGCCTGGGTGGCGGGCTTGATCCCCAGTAGGGAGCATGCAGGAGGCAGCCAATCAATGATTCTCTCTCATAATTGATGTTTCTATCTCCCTTTCCCTTTCGCTCAAAAATCAATTTTAAAATATTGAATTTAAGGAAACAAAGAAACTACAAAGAAAATCATGGCATTTAAAAAATAAAATTAAGAGAAATTTTAATCTCCCAATTCTGATTACTTGCATTGATCTTTAGGTACTACAGCAGTGAGAGTAAAGTGATTCCAATGAGCTGGACAAACTGCGAAGACCAGAATATTTCCTTAATGGGGAATCTGATGGAAATACCAACAGGTGACATCAGAAATATTTAATTAATAACTGGTGAGCAATGGGTGCCAGCTATAAATTACTAGTGTGTACCCACTAAATAGGAGCCCTAGTAATACCAGCTTCCTCCTGCAGTTAAATAGTGCTGATGGGTAACTGGTTCTGTGATTAGGACTCTTTATTAGCAGAGAATACTGTGGTGCAGTTCACCGGTAATTGCATATCATTACATGTAAAAGGATAAATAGATATTTTGGTGTGTAGATAAATCTCACTTGATTAGTTAATAATAATCACTCCTCAGAGGTCCTATTATTTCTGAATAAATTGAACAACTCAATGCATGGACTAGCATGATCCCAAGGACCAAGCTCAGGAAGGCCCACAACCTGGGCTTCCCCCACCAAAGTGCGGACACACCCCTTGAGTCGGGATCTGAAAGGCAAAAGCTTCTCACTCAAAATTCAGTTCTGGTTACTGTTCAGCTTAACTGTCCTGGTTATTACCAGGAGTTTCTTGCTTACAGCAACTAATGCTATGTAGGCCACTCAAAGAAAATTTGAAAGTTTGAAACTTCAGCATCTCTCCTTCTTACAAAGTCCATGATAAACGCCAGTTGGCAATGATCACTGGGCAAAGATAATGAAAGTTTAATTTGGAAATGAGCAAATGGGAAAAGAACTCCGTTGTTTAAAATTGCCACTGCATTAGATTTATAGTCTTTTAATATTAGAATACCGAATCTTGAAATTACAAAGAAAAGGAAAAGATGTGGAGAGCACTCATGTTTATTGAGTGCCTATTATCAACCCCAGATGCCTTACATCTGTATTATCTCATTAATCCTCCAAATAACCCTGACCTCAGCAGCCCTGAGCCCACCTTTCTAGCCTCTGGTCCCACCCCTCACTGTGCCAATCAAAGTAGGAGCCCTTAGATCCGGCCATAGCATTGGAAACTTTCCTCTCTGTCTTTCACACTTTCTATTTATTTATCTATCGAGCTATCTATCTACCCACCTTCTTATTTATTTATTATTGATTTCAGAGAGGAAGGGAGAGAAAGATAGAAACAGCAATGATGAGAATCATTGATCACTGCTTCCTGCACGCCCCCTACTGGAGACTGAGTCTGCAATCAGGACAAGTGCCCTGACCAGGAATTGAACCGTGACCTCCTGGTTCATAGGGTTAGAGCCACACTGGTTGGCTCTTTCACACTTTCTGAGTGCTTGTTTAACTGCCTTTTCTCGAACAAATTACAAGCCTTATGAAAGAGACTATGTCCACCTGCCTGCCGACTGCTGTGGCTCTAGCACCCAGCGTGGCAGGAGGCTTGCATCACCAATATTTGTTCATGAAGAGGTGACCATGGAAGGCAGGAACATGCTCTAGGCCCGTGGTCGGCAAACTGCAGCTCACAAGCCATATGCAGCTCTTTGGCCCTTTGAGTGTGGCTCTTCCACAAAGTACCACGTCCTGGGCGAATCTATTTTGAAGAAGTGGCGTTAGAAGTTTAAAAAATGTGGCTCTCCAAAGAAATTTCAATCGTTGTCCTGTTGATAGTTGGCTCTGTGGACTCATGAGTTTGCCGACCACTGGCCTAGGTGAAGCTGGCACTTGAAATCCATGTTTTTCTCACAAATCAGGAATTCCAGGCTCGTGGGAAGGCTTCTCCAGGATATCAACAGGGCATTCACTAGCGATGTGTTATCAGGAGGCTCTCAGACACTATTTTAAAGTCCGGACATTTCCCATGAAATCAATATTCAGTTCTTAGAAAGAGGATTTCAGCATTCCAAGGAGTGCTAGAGGTCTTATCATCGACCGGGAAAAGCCTGGCCTAAAAACAAAGCATGACACAGTTTTGTTGGTAACTCTGGTCAGGTAATGAAACTGCAGCATTATCACTATCTTATCCAAGCACCGTCATTTTTGAGCTCCGTCTGCTTATCTCTGCAGCGGATACGGAGGCTGCAGAGCCATCTTGCTGGAGAGCAGCTTGAAATTGGAATTGGCCTTGACAGAGTCAGAGGCTATCTGCCCTTGGGTTATCCAACTGCAAAGATAAATGGAAGTAAAGTACTATGAATTATCCAATTTACCTATCTTGGTTGAACTTCTAAGAAAAAGTACAGCTTTAGTTTATCTGTGGGTTTGAATTGCTGCCCGGATTCGACTTGTTTAAGTGTTAAATAAAATAGGCTGTCTCTTCCCCCCACAATGGAAACATTCTTGCCTCACTGCCAGGTGATTCCAGTGCCGACGGGATAACTTCAAGTCCGGTAATCCAGAAATTGTGATTGTTTAAGTACTATGTGGTAGCTTCAAAGTCATTACCAAGTCTATCCAAAGGGCCCTGTGATTCAGCCATACACAGATCAAATCAAGTACATTGGACATTTTGATCCAGTTTTTAAGTTGGAAGGAATCTTAGAGAACCCTTTTCATTTCCACTTAATACCCTGAGACAGAGTTTAAACATAGCTTTTCTAGTCACTAGTGAGTAGCAGACCAGGTAGGCAGTAAACTTGGGATTCCCAGAGCCAACCACAGAAATAAGCAAAGGGGGGTGGGGGGGAGAAAAAGGAGGGAGGCGGGGGTTAGCTGTAATGCGGACCCTGAACTCCTTTCTGTTTGTTAATCAGATTACTGGCATTTACCTTCCACTGGTGTAAATGTTGTAATCGGGGTAGTCTGACCATACAGGTAAGGATCCAACTTAATTGTGTGTGTTCAGCCACCTAAAGAAAGAAAATAGAACATTAACAAAGGTGGTCAGTATTTCCTTACACACATGACAAAACTAAACAGATGATAGGTATCACCGTAAATGGCTGAAAATTCACCAAATCGAGGTAATTTTAGAAAAAGGACAGGGGAAGGGGACTTCCACAGAATTTTAAGGTGAAGGAGAAATCTTCAAAACCAAACAATATGATTGCCAGTATAGTGTTTAAATCCTCTTTACAACATCCCTAGCTAGACTGTTTTTAGAGGGTTTTATTAAGTCCTGAGACTTCTGTTCCATCTTTAAAAAGCCAAGGTTATTAATAAAAACACACACCCACACACACACACACACACACACAGAGGTTCAAATCCAGTCAAAATAAATTATAAATATATGAAAGCATCCTGGCTGTGGCTCCATGGGTTGAGTGTCATTTCATGCACCAAAAAGTCACCAGTTCCATTCCCTATCAGGGCATATGCACAGGTTGTGGGCTCGATCCCCAGTAGGGGGCATGCAAAAGGCACTTGATCGATGTTTCCTGCATTGATGTTTCTATTCCCTTCTCCCTTCTTATCTCTAAAATTAATAAAAACATAAAAAAAATAAATATATGAAAGCAGCCATGATACCTTACATGTAAATGGCAGAGAAAGGTACTGAACTTAAAGATTGATCCTTTAGACCTAGAATAATTTGAAATTTAGGAATCACGTTATCATCCCAAACTATAATTTCTATTGTCCCTCCTCTTTCTTAATTTTTATCTTTTTTCTTATTGTGAAAGAAGAGGTCTAGCCCTGGTCGGGTGGCTCAGTTGGTAGGAGTGTTTGATCTCTAGTTGGGGTGGGTACAGGGGGAACCCAGTCAATGTTTCTCACATCAATGGTTTTCTCTCTTTCTCTCTCTCAAAATCACTGAAAGCATGTCCTCGGGTAAGGATTTTTTTTTTTTTTTTTTTAAAGAAGAGGTCTAGTCAATGAGGAAATATAACATTTTCCCAATTTGTTTTTGTTGCAACCAAATTTAATCAAGTAACCAAACCTGGTTACAATTGGGATGATTCTTGGGCCCAGGCCAGGATCTAACTGATGACCTGGAATGCAAGGCCCATGCATCTTGTTTCTGGACCCCGGGGATTCCGAGCCCTTCATCCATTGTGGCTTTATTTGTGTCCATATGATTTCCTTCAAAAGCAGAGGCCGTTGCCAACTCTGAAAAGTGGCCCCAAATGTGTTCTTTGTGGGTTTTGCAAAAGGAACATGAAGGAATGGGGCTGAATCAGCACAGGCCTATTTTACTAGCAAGGAATCGCCATCTGGCGTAAGCTAGTTTCTCATTTTTCCCCTCAAGTCATGGAGCGGGAAGAGTTGTTTTTCACGTATTTGACAAGGAATCGCTTTTCAAGTTTTGCAAGTTGCTGGGCTGAACCTGTCATCTTTCTTCCGAGAGAGAGCCGTTCAGGCTTCACTGAGGCAGCGACTCTGACAGCACTGTCCCTGCAAATTGCTAGCTGCTGCCGCGGCCGTAAACAAACAGCCATCAGGCAGAAACAGTGAGGCTGGATGGAAGCAAGAGGATTCTGGTTGCTTTTAATCATCAAGCAAAACACATTCCGGTTAGAAGTAATACAACGAGAGCTGGGTTTTGGCATGAAGAAGTTAGAGAGGTTTTCTGTGTCTTCTTTACTGAACCGGGGAAAGAAATGACAACCCAGAAAATAACAACAAGATGACCCCTCTCCTTCCATCCGGGCTCATGTGCTCAGCCTGGGCGATCCGCAAAAAGCTAGCACCAGGTCTCCATCAAGTCAAGTATTTCCCTGGGCGTAGCTTTTTATGTGAACCCATGGAATGAGACTTTCATATTCTGCAGAGATCTTCCTGGTGTTTCCAAATAAGGGGGCAGAAAAGTAATCCAAATTAGTCTTAGACATAAAAATGTAGGTAAAAAGTCAAAGAATTAATTCTCACAATTTATTATTACTAATTAGATAAGAAGGGCCGTACTCTTTAGGACTTGGTTCTTTTAATTTACTCTCATCTAAGACAACTGCTTGGAAAGGTTTAGATTTGTATCTGGAGAAAAGTGAAAATGGTATTTAAATATAGTCTGTTTTGAGTTACGTTGTGAAACCACAAAATAATAGCATGATCTGTTTTAGCCACAGAAAAACAAAAGCCTGCACCAATAAGGTGGCCATCCACAAACAAGCTGGTACTGACTGTAGTTCTGACTCCCTAATCGTAACAGTAAAGACACTTGCATTCGTCAGTTACAGCAGTTCTGCCTAGTATGTTTGCTGCTGTAGAACAAGAGTCTGACACAATGCAGGTGCTCAATCAATTCCTGAATGTATGAGCAATAGCAAAGGCTGCAGAAAGAATGGTGAGGACCAAAAGGAATCCATCAGTGTTAACAACAGACTTGGTAACCCAGGCAAAAGCAGTTGCCAGGGAGTGACTGGATGGAAGCTAAAGTACAGAGAGGTCAGGCGGTTGAAGTGTGAGTAGGTGGCAGGATCTGAAGGCAGATGGTCAAGGAGTATGGCAGAATGGGTAAGAGCTCTCTCTTTGGAGTGAGGCTGCCAGGATCATAAAGCAAGTTCTGCCACTTATTAACTGGTGACCCTGTAAATGACTTAACCGCTCTGTGCCTCAGTTTTGTCATTTAGAAAAAAGAGGTTAATGATAACAGGACTTAGAACAGTATCTAGCACACAGTAAGCATTCAATAAATGGTAGTTCTTATTATGGATACTTTATAGGAAGACTTTTGTTTTAACTTTTTATTTTGAGATGACTCACATAGAGTTGTAAGAAGTAAAACAGAGAGATCCAGTATACCCTTTACCCAGTTTCTCCAATGGCAACATCTTGTGTAACTACAGTACACTATCACAACCAGGAAAATGAATTCGACACAATCCATCCACCCTATTTAGATTTCACCAGTTTTACACACACTCATTGTGTGGGTATATTAGTTCTACACTATTTACCACATGTCTTTCTTTTTAAAAAAAAAAAAAGTTTTTATTGATTTTATAGAGAGAGGAAAGAAGAGGGAGAGAGAGAAACATTGACGAGAGAGAATCATTGATTGGCTTCTTCCTGCACACCCCCTACTGGGGGTCAAGCCCTCAACCCAGGCATGTGCCATGACTGAGAATTGAATTGGCGACCTCTCGGTGCATAGGACAACGCTCAACCAACTGAGCCACCCTGGCCAGGCTGAAACATTTTTTAAAGGAAGGACAGAGATGGCAATAACCAGTAGGGTTTAGAGAATAAAATTTTGTTTTATTTTTTTTTAACTAAAGACAGACCTACTTTTCAGAACATCTTCCACAGAAACAGGAGGGGAAATAAATATAAGATGAGGTTATATTGCGTGGGATAGAATCAGAGAGCAGAAAGTTAGAGGACTTCACATCTAATGGGCTCTATTATCTCTGAAAATAGAAGACAGGGTGATTAGAAACAAATGGGATAAGGAACATACTCAATGGAATTGGTGGGTTTGATAGGAAAGAACAAAAGAACTTTTGGAATAGAGTTATATAAGGCTTGATGTTTTGGGGATGTTTTTGTGAATTAAAAATTACAATCATTTGTAAAATACATTCTTTGGGAAACATTGGTATTCTTCAAGATAGACTAAAGTGTTCTGCCTAAAGGATAGGTCTTTAACATTTTTTGCAAAAAGATTAATTCAGTTGCATCTTTAATTTTCTTTGGCCAATAGAGATTTTTTAAAAACAGGATCCAAAAAGTACTAATCACAAAGCAGAAATCTGGATAAATTAAAATTGACAACTTTTCTTTCTCCAACACCACCATTTAAAGAGGGAAAAAGGCAAGTTACAGAGTAGGAGGTGATACATGCAAGCCTATATAGAATATATTGGTATACAGAATACATTAAAAAACTCCTACAAATTCATAAAAGAAAAGCAGAATACCCTATGAAAATTGGCCAAATGCATTACATGCAAAATAAAGTGGTATCCCTGTGATAGCACTGCACACACATCAGAATGATTAGAGTGAAAAGGCTGAATAATACCAAGTATGGCAAGGATATTAGGTAAGTAGAACTCTTATATACTGCTGTGGGATGTAAACTGGTAATACGTCAACTTTAAAAACTGTATCCACTAACACTCAACATTTATATAACATTTGAGCAAGGCAGCCCATTTCTAGGTATATATTTAACAGGAATGTTCTCAAAAGTATACATACAAGAATAAAATGTGACAGCCCCAACTGTAAGCAATCCAAATGTCCACCTATGCAGAATGGATAACTTGTGGTATATTCATACAAATGGAATGTTACAGCAATGAGAATGAACAATTGCATTCAACAATACAAGTTAATCTCAGAAACACAATGTTAAGCGAAAGAAGCCATATACCATACAGTATGTGCTAAATCATTCAAATTATATTATTTTCAAAAATATGTTATCTTGGGAGAGGGATAGTTAGCAGCTAGAAAGGGGCAGGAAGAGCATTCTGGGTATGAGTTGCATGGGTGTGTTCAGTTTGTGACAACAGGAAAGAAGCTAGTAAATCCACCTACATTGGGCCTTGAATAAAATAAATGAAAACCTTGTTGTTGTTTAAAGCAAGGTGGAGGGACTTCTGGAATAGCCGAGTGACCCCTGAAAATCTGCTCCTTCACAAAAGCAATGAGAACACTAGCAAAAACTGTCAAAGTCAACTTTTTCTAAATCTGGAAATTAACCCATAGTGGCAATATTCTGAAGAGTATTTCTTTAACAAAAATATCCGCATCTCAGTAAAATCAGAGAGCTTTGTGGCATTTTAACTCACCCTATTCCCACCCACTTCTCTCCCGGTCGGTCGGTGATAGCTATGGAAACCACTACCTAGCTGTCACGGGAAGGGGATGCCTGGGTTTAGAATGCCTCATAAAGGCTCATCTCCAGAGAACTGTCACTACCGACCTGTCTGATAGCTCTCTGGAAAAGCCCCACGTG